CCTGCTCAGCGGGAAGCCTGCTTCTCCCTCTCCCACTTCCCCTGCTGGTGTTCCCTCTCTCATTGTCTCTGTCAAGGAAATAAATAAAATCTTAAAAAAAAAAAAAAAAAAACTTTATATTAGTAATTAAAACAAACACTGCAAAGTTACATTTTTTTGGACAATTACTATTTCTGGATAGTTTGATTTTTGGCATCTCAGTCTTAAAGACTAGAAATAAAACGGAAAATTATAAATTTCAATATGGTATTTTGAAAGACAAACTATGTCAAATCCCTGCTTGCTGAACCAGTTTATAAAGTTCTAATATTTACATATACATCTCAGTGCGTCGGCCTATTTCAGGGGAAAGGGCCCAGAATCTAGCTGCAGAAAGAATGTTAATGTAACAGGTAGCAAAGAGACACTGCTCCTAGAGACAAATAAATAAAATATCTTCCTTGTTTGATCATTCTCTTACCTTCGGCCTTGATCCAATCGTCCATGAGGGCCCCGAGCAGGAAATCTGTTCAGGTGGCTCAGATGAAGTGTGTGGGATGTTTGGAAGAGACTCAGAGCTACAGAGAAGAAATGGCTGGTGACTCAAAAACCCTACATACCTGCCCAACTTCCCTGTCCCTTTCCTCCAGTGACAGCAGTACCCACTTGTATTCTGAGAGCAACAACCTGAGAGCTACAGGCCCATTCATCCAGAGTACCCCCATAAAGCCACACCCCAACATCCATGCCACTGGTACGCACGCTTCTGAGGAAAGAGTGGGGGAATCCGGTGAGGCTGGAAGATCAGCTGGGGCTGAGCTCCCAGAATCCCTTGCTTCTGGCCCAGGGCTGCCACATGGAGAAGGGGAGGTGCTGGGGACTTCAGCAGGGGCTGCAAGACAGTAACCAGGAAACTCAGGGCATCCCGTGGTCGATTTGCTCACTACCTTGGAAAGATGCAGCCCTGCCCCTTGACAAAAGTAAGGTTCTTGCCCAGCTTTCAGGGCACTGGGACTTCCCTCCCTCCCCTTTCCAATGCACACGCCGGGAAGACACATACCTGGTTGGAGAGCGTTTGCACCTTGACAGCATTCCAGGGCACTGCCTGGCCTGGGTTGTATGCAGCCTTCACCAGCACCTTCTCACCCAGCTGGGGCAGCCGGCCCTTCACCACACTGCCAGCACACAAGCCAGGAAACCCAGTCAGGAGAGAGACCCTGGCCAAGCCACCTTGACTGCCCCTAGGAGGCCCTGCCCATCAAGATTTCGCACACCTTGCATAAAAACAGCAAAGCAATGGCTTCAGAGGGGCCCCACCAGCGCAGTGACAGAATTGAATTCAACAAGCATTCAGGGGACTAACCTCAAGCCTACCTTAGCTGAAAAAAGACCTCTTCATCCACCACCCCAAAGTAGTCATGCAAGCTGGTAACAATACCAGTGAAGACCCGCTGCTTCTCCCCACCCTGTAAGAGAACAGTGCAGTTTGAAAGTAACAGAGAGCATATGTCCATGCTCCGCCGTTAGCATCTCATCTCCAGCCAAACCCCACCCAGCTTCAACAAAGTATGGCATTGAGATTCACACCAAGGAGACACACACGTATAACAGTCAAAATCTACTGCAAGGAGGAGGAAGAGATCACACTGATTCTTAGGTCAGAAGCTTCTTCTAGGATTTCCAGTTCTTTAATTCCAAGAAGCACCCGAAAGATTTCCCTAGAGCCACAACTCAGGACTCCCCAGTCAGAGGTGTCTGGTCACCTCCATCCTGGCCCAGGTCAGGAGCACCAGGAAGGATGAACACAGTGATGCAAGAATGAAAGCACCAGGCACCCATGCTTGCTGTGGTAGTCTCAAGTGCTGACACTCACTAGAAAAAATGCCAACCTACCTGAAGGTGCCTGGCATTTTGGGACAGGTCTGTGGCCACAGGAGGAGTGAGCAAACCAGGAGGAGGACCCAGAAGAGATGTTGAAGCTGCGCCTATGTGGACAGAGAAGCAATCTCCAGGACCTGCATCTACCATTTTGAGCACTAGAGTCAGACAGAAGGTATGGCAGACCCAAAGGGCAAAGTGACTCCAAGCAACTCCTCCACAAGGTTTCACTTGCCACCACTGTGCTCATCTAGTTTCCTATGAAACGTTGGCAGCAAATCTGCACTCCACCAGGGAAACCCCAAAAGCCACATTTTAAAAGACTAACTCCAAAGCACCTAATACCCAGTATGAGGCCAAATAGGGTTAAAGGTGATCACCTGAAAAGTTGCGTCCCCCTGGAAGCGGGTTGATCCGCTGGCGCTTAAACTGGGACATTGGGAATGCTGTCCTCTTTCAGAGTCTTAGAAAAAACCTTTAATTGGAAAAGAAAGAAGTTAACAGCTCAGAGGGAAATTTTCCATCAACCCCCAAAAAGTAACTGAGGATCTAATGAAGGTGAGGAGGTGGGTACGGAGAATGAATGGAGGAGATGGAGAGAACATGAAGAGCAGGAAATGCAAAAATTACATTGTTCCAATTTGCCCTCACAAGTTAGTGGTGGGTGATACTGTCAAGCTATTTTAAAGAAAAGGAAACTGAAGCTCACAGAGATTGAGACTTGCCCAGGGTCACATCACCAGTTAGTGACAAAACTGAGACTCGCACCCAGGTCGCCAACAACTTAGCGCTCTTCTCACGATGCCACGCCACCCGCAGATGCTTGGGGAGAGTGGGGGATTGGAAAGGGCCCCAGTGACATTCATTCATTCAAATACATCCGCCAAAATGCTCCACGCAAGGCCCGGAAAAATGGAGGAGGCTGGTGCCGAAGAGAAGGTGTGGGCCCTCTCCCCGGAAGCCCGGCCCGTTGTTCCCCGGACAGGCTGGTGCGAAGGTAGCCCCGTGGCCCGCCCGAACGCGATTCCGGCAGCGCACCCGCCCGCCCTCCTGCTCCCGTGCTCCCTGGGCCTCGGCTCCCGCTTCAGCAGCCGCGGGCACCGGGCCTCCCGGGCCGGGCCGCGGCGGGGCCACCGTGGGAGGACGAAGGCGCGCGGTTTCTCCTCCTCCCGCCCGCCCCCAGGGCCGAGGCCGTTGCCAGGGAGACGGGACTTGCAGTCCGAAGGGGGGCTCGGCCCCTTCCGCGGCCCGTGCATCTTTGCTGCCCGGCTCTCGCAGCCCTTCGGCTGGGGAAGGGGCGAAGGGGCAGAGAGGCGGTGGGGGGCCCCCCAACCCACCTGCGGGCCAGGGCCGCGACACCGGGGGGACAAAGACACCCGGAACCACCACAGCCGCTACTGCCGCCACCACCGGAAGCGCCTCTCCGGAAGCGCGACCACTGGTCGGAAGCTGCCACTCTCCCGGATATGGTCCCTCCCTCCTCTCCACCGACTTCTCCCTTCCCCCACGCCGGCCTGTCATCCCCCTCCAACTGTGGAACGGAAGTGCGCCTTCCCCGATCGGATGCGCGTTTGGAAGCCGGGCCTCGGTGGTGTCCCCGCTTAACTGTCCCGTTAGAAAAGTAGGCTTTAGAGCATTGGTTCCTGATACAAAGACAGCAGGAGCTGAACCCCTAAATAGAAGAGAGCACCTACCACCCGACACCTGGCCTCATTCTGGCCGACTCCAGGACTGCAGCCGCAAGAGAAGCAGCCCCTCCTGACTGAAGGAGGAGAGTGCCTGATCAGTGGCCATTTCTAGGAGACATTCCTGTCTGACTCAAGCCAATGACTTCATCCCTAGCCCGGCCCTTCCATTGACACCCCCCCACACACACACACCCCCGTCCCCTCCCATCCTCTGGATATCTGCAGGAGACTAAGCTTTTCCCCTTTCTCAATTAGCAAAGAGCTAGGAACACTACATGCCGTAATAAATAAACCACCACAATATTTTGGTAGACATTTACAATGTTCTCAGAAACATTTCCTTTAGTTCTCACAACCCTGGAAAATAAGGTCAGGCACTAGTGCCCTAATTCTGTTATGAAACCTAAGACTTGAGTGAAATGACATGCTTCAAGTCTTGCCACTAATCACTGGCCATTTGTCTGCATCAGCAACTCCAGGCCTCCTTTATCCTCTGGTCTTCCCATCATCCCTCCAGTTCGGCCTCCTTCCAATCCCATGCCCTCCCCTTCCTATTCATGTAACATTCACAATGCACTTCAAGACAGTTTAATCTCATTTTATCTTCATAATAAGACCGTGAGGTAGGTAGGGCAGGTATCATTAAACCATTTGGGAGATTAAGTAGCAAGCTATGGCTCAGAAAAGTTAAGGGATTTTTGTCTAGGTCTAAAAGCAAGTATGTCTCTGGTTTCTGCTCTGATATGTAAAGGTTATTAGGGACCAAAGCAGCTGAAGACAGACCTTGAAGCTTACTCTGCTCTTCTCCATGTTGTCCCTGACCCTTCCATTCCAGGTTTGGTCTTCAGGGGCTCTGTTTCACAGGCAAGACACCATGCAGAGGCACCCAAGATAGTACCCCCACCCCACCCGTCCTGGGGCTACCCATGAAGGTCTGAGAAGGAAAGCAGGACTCCAAATCAGTAACTGCCCACGAGGAATGAAGTTCAGTTCCAATCTTTCGCAGTTACCTCACCCAGAAGACCAACCCTTTGAGTGCATGATTCCGAAGAGACAGCTGTATCCAGCCAGTTCACAACAGTGACAGACTCACAGAGATACACGTATCATTTTGCACTAATACACATCTGAGACATGCTAGGCCCCAGGAGATCACCATGTCAAACACGTTCCATGGACTCCTGATAAATAAGTTAGTTCACATTGACTAGGCCCAGGGATTTCTGGCAACCAGCAAGGAGCCCGGGGGCTGCCACACCTTGGGGCCTCTCAGGGAACCAGGGCTCCTCTGCCAGGCTGCCCAGAGGAGAAAGATCCAGCCCTCTCCTCAGAGAGAAGGGTGAGCATCAGCAGCTTTTCCTGGCAGTGCCCAGAAGCAGCAACAGGCAAAGGGCGAGGAAGAAGCCTTCACTGCACACACCCCCACCCAGGGTCACGTCCCTGCACCAGGAGGTCTCAGCATACAGAAAGGTTTTTTGCTCGTTGCTTCTTAACCACAAATGATGGCATAAAGGTCTTCCGGAGGGGCTGGCATGGAGGTCTTTCAGGGACGCCCCTTGACTCAATCCTGTGGAAAAGAGAAGGTAGCTTTAGGCTAGGAGGAGGAAATGAAAGCAGCAATGGCCCCAGAGTTGATGGAACACTGTGTATCTGCCGTGGGGAGCCTGGGGACATCGACATAGTGCTTCCTAGCCCCACATTACCCCCCATCACCCACTGTGGAATCCTCTGTGGCCCAACCTTGCTCTCCCAGCAAATCTGGGAGGTGGCCTAAGGTTCAGCTGTGAGGGATGAGGGCTTGCTGGACGGGCATGAGGGGTTTCCCATGCTCTGGTCCTGGCTCTGCCACGGACTCACCACGCAGGTAGCCTCAGAAAAGCAACTTCCTTCCCCAGTCCAGTCCCCAGCCTCCTCCCCTGTAAACGGGATGCTTTAACTGCCTTCTGTTTCTTCCTGCACCCTCTCCAAGACTATCTACATCTCTCAGATCTCCAGGGGACCAAAAAAACACAACTGGCCCTACAATCTCAGCATCCTGGTTCATCAGGCTCCTCCTCTGCCCTCACCTAGGCTGGGCCCCAGGACTCACCTAGGGGCAGAGCCATCAGGAGGGGCAGGGGACTCAGGGTGTTTCGGGCTCCTCCAACGGATCCGGTTGAGCAGGACCTTGACCTTGTTCCAGTGGGAGAGATCCCGCTGAGCAGAGGGTGAGGGGATCACCACAGAGCTCCTCCCCACAACATGCCCCTGACCAAGCTCCCAGAGCCAGCGGGCAGCACAGCCAGGACAAGTCACCTGCTCCAATCAGGAATTCTGTCACTTTGCCAGCGTTCCTGGCCTTCACGTTGTGTACACATCCCGACCACCCCACAGCCCCGCTCCATCCTGTCCCCTGCCTCCACACATACCCAGCACCTACCTTGTGTCCCTGGGAGGATGGAAAGATGTGAGCGGGCTCTGCAGCGGCCTCTAACAGCACAGGAGGGTTGGCACTGGGCAGCCCTACCTTTAGGGGCGTAGCTGATTTTGCCCCTTCAGAAAGAGAATCAGATTACCCAGGGCCAGAAGCAGGAAGCCACCCATCAAGCCCAGGGCTCACGGGGTCTGCCGGGGGAGGAGGGCGGCCCTGGGCAGGTAAGACACAGAGGGAAACGTGACTGCCCCTCACCTGTCTCCTGCATCTGGCTGGGCAGTCCGTGCACCTCACGGCCTGGGGCACGAGAAGGCAGCAGTGAGGGGGTCAGGGTGGGCTTCCCCGCCTCCTCCTCGTCCTCTGCTTCAGGATCCTGTGCACAGGACAGACAGGCACTAGAGACCTGACTCGAGGGCTGGGTCCAGGGGTCCCAGCCCTCCTCTGCCGCCCCCACTCACCTGCCCCCCGCTGGCCTGCTGGCCCTGCGGCTCACTCCCCCGTGGGGGCCTCTGGGTCTGCAGCTGCAAGTAGAGCTGCTGGAGCCTTGCCATCTGCTCCAGCACCAGGCACAGGTGTTCCAGGTAGCGGAGACCCTGCCCTGGGAGACAGGCCCAGGCTTCAGGCCCCAGGCCCCCCGCCTGTGGGACAGAGTAAGGTCGGGGGGGCACTTCGGAACTCAAGCAGGCTCCCATCCTAGGCAGCCAGCAGATGGGTGCAGAGGGGCCAGGGAGAGGAGGCACACACCCCCGGCTGGCCTCCCAGTACCCAGCCAGGCATGCTGCCAGGCCAGCCCCCATCCTGCCCACCTCCACACAGCTGGGAGTGGGCTGAGGCGAGAACAACCCGTCAATTAGCGGCAAGGAACGCCCCAGCCCGAGAGAGCTCCAAGGAGAACAAGTCAGTGAGGCCCCACCAGCCAGCAACCCACCCCTCTGTGTAAAAAGGCCATCTCCATCCCACTCTTGACCCAGCCTGAGAGCTGACACTCACCACCTCTGCTTCTTCCAGGCCTGCCTCCAGGTCAGTTTCTGCCTCAATGGCCTCCTGTTCCCTGGTTCCAAAAAGGGGCATTTCACATTCGGGCTCGCTGGGGGGCTTCAGGGAGCGGTGGCGTTGTGACATGCTGGCAGCGGAAGACGGGAGCTGGCGGGACCGCTCCAGCACCTGCTCCAGCTTACGGTTGGCCAGAAGCCGGCCTAGGTGGGCAGGAGGCTCCTTGGAAGCAAGGGCCAGAGGCTCAGGGCTCCCTGTGGGCTCAAAGTCCAGAGAGTCCTGAGAAAGGCCCGGTGAGGTGGCCAGGAGGCTGTCCCCAGCCACCATCTCCACTCCTGAGTCCCGGGAGGCCAGTTTGAGAAGTGGCTCCTGCCTCCTGAGACCTCTCAGCTGGCCATCTCCCTTCCAGGAGTCCAGCGAGCAACCTTGAGCAGCGTCCGGGATCCGTCGGTAGGTGCTGCTGACTCCAGGTACTACACAACCGTGTGCCAAGTCCTCACCAACCCCATCTGCAAGGAGAGTCAGCATCAGGCTGGGCAGGCTGCCCCTAACGCCCCCAGCGTTCCTGGCAACTAGCAGCATTCCCCGGGGAGGAGTGTCCTGGGCCGAGGTGAAGGGAGGGGACAGGCTGGACAGCCACAGCCCCGCCCAGATCTCTCCCCATCCCTGGCTGGGAGAAGTTAGCAGGGGTTCCCTTCACAAGCGGTCTTTGTTGCCGATCACAGACCGCCCCCCCCGCCGGGGATTTGGGCTGTGTGGTAGGCAAAGCCATGTAGGGCATATTCACCAGCTCCTGGGATGGCCTAGCCTTTGAGGGGGTTGCTGCTCTCTTCTTGTACTAAGGAGCCTATGGTCAGCCTAAGACCTCCAAGTCCTGAATGGGGAGCCTCAGTCTCTCCAACTACTCCCCACGGGGCAGTAGGACTGTGACCCCCACCCCCACCCTCTGGCATCGGGGAAACGGGGACGGGCACAAAGAAGGAAGCTTGGGGTCCAAACTAACATCAGGATGCAGGATGAAGTCTCTCCAGGAGCTCCTAGGGGAGGGTAATAAAAATAAGAATAGCTATAAGCACTGCGGGCTTCTGTTCTTTTAAATGAGAAATAGTGAAGATTTGGTGGAGAGTTGGAAAAAAAAACTTAAATGGGAACGGGGGGGGGTGTAGGAGGAGAAGCAGCGCTAGCTCCCGAGGACTGTCCCCTCTGCGCCAGGCCCTACCCACGCGCTGGGTCCCCAGCTGTAAAACTGATGCACAAACTAGTGCGGGAGAGGATGGAGGGCCGCCTCCGTCTCACCACCGGCCACGCCGGGGAGCTGGGGGCCAAACCAGGCCCCCCCTGGCCAAGGAAGCCAGCCAGGAAGTCTCCTTCGGGAAGGGGTCGGCCGCCGCGGAGGGAGCTTTTGGACCTGCGGGCGGGGGCAAGGGCTGGGCGAAGGGTCCACACGGGAAATTAGAGGGAAGTGGAGCCGGGGGGGAGTGGGATGGAAGGTGGTTGCTGGTTTAACGCCCAAACCCAGAGGGTCTCCAAAGCGCACGGCGCCATCACTCAGCCCGTCGGAAGGGAGGCTGCGAGGTCGGGCGCCCTGGGCGGGGTGCACGGGCTGGGACGGGGAGCGCAGACCGGGGCTCGGCGCGGGAGTCGGCTCCAGAGCGGCAGCCCCGGCCGACCTGGGGGGTGGGCGACTCACCCCGGCCGCCGAGCGGCTCCACGGCGAAGACGCGCCGCCGACCCAGCATGGCCCCGCTCCCGGCCCCGACGCGGCGCCCCGGCCGCGGCCGCAGCAGCCGGCCCGCGATCCCGGGCCAGCGTCCCCCCGCCGCTCTTTGGCGGGAGGCTTCGCACGCGCGTCCGGCCCCGGCTGGGCGCGGCCCCGGGACCCTCGCGGCGGGGAGCGAGGGGAAGGGGGGGAGGGGCGCGCAGGTGTGCGGGCAGCGGGGGGCCGGGGGCGCGCCCGGAGCGGCCGCGGGGGCCGGGAGTTGGGGGCTGGGAGCCGGGGCGCGCTGGGCGCGCCGGGGAGCCGGGAAAAGGCCTCGATCCGCTGTCCTTCAGGCTCCGGGCAGCCCCGCGCTCCCGCCGCCGGCCGAGGAGCGGAGACCCCCGCCTACGGACGCTGTCAGGCTCGAGGTTCGGGGTTACCCGGCACCCCCCCACTCCCGGTTCACATGCTGGTCTGTCTTCCTGCCGCCGAAATGCAGCCGGGGATGGGGGTGGAGGGCCGGCGGGGACTGGACGGGAGCGCGGAAGGAAATGGAGCCCCACGTGCTGGCTGCGGGAAGAGCGCTGACCGGGACAAGGTTGTCCCTGCGCTCCCAGCTGTGTGCCCGGGGCAGGTCACTCCGCCACTCAGAAAGCTGACGCGATGGAAGGGGGAAGTGATCCCTGTCCACGTGGAAATCCTTTCCAACAACTGTAGAGCGCCTTGAGTCCGGGGCTAGATCTGAATCCCCTCCTTGTCCCATATGTCTCCCTCACCCGAACACCCGAAAGCTGGGGCTTCAGGATCCGGGGAAGTGAGCTAGGGGGACAGGGAAGCAGCCTGGAGGCGGTGGAAGCGTAAATACTTCCCTGTCCCCACCCCAGCCCTCTTTTGGTCCTGGGATTCCACCATCCCGCACCCTCAAAGGCTCCCAGCCTGAAAGGAGGCTAGGAGCCCAGGCAGCTGCTGAAGGGGACACAGCCTGGTGACCAGGGGGGCTGCTGGCCTCTAAGGAAACCTCATCTTCCTGAGGAAGGTGACAGGGCTGGAAAAATCCCAGCAGGACCCAAATCCCTTGGAGGCAGATAAGGGAGCTGGTGGACGTGCAAACTTGCACCTGAGCCTCTGGGGGAGGGGCTGGAACCGGAGCCCTTGGAAGGAAGTGGCTGTTAACTGGGAGGGGAGAAAACAGTCAGCCCACCCTCTTCTGCTCCTTGCTCCTCCAGACCCTTCTGCAAACACCTTCCTTACAGAAGAGACTTATCAGAGAGCCGCAAACTGTAAGATTCTAACTGTATAATATGGGGAAACTGAGGCCTGTAGCCAAGGCTGGAGAAAGAATGAGAGCCTAGTGCCTGAATTACCTGCCATCTCTTAACACCTTGATTTTCAGGCTAAGCCCTTCCGTGCTAGGCAGAGGTCCTCTGGGTTGCCCCCTCCTAACCCTATCCTCCTAGACAGCAACCCCACTCCATTCCTCTTTCCCAGATAATAGACAGGGAAACAGAAGGCAGGGCCTGGCAGGAACTGCTTTATGCTTGTCCAACAGGATGTGTGGCACCAAACCCCACAGGCAGTGTCAGACCCCACCCCAGCCCTCCCTAGGTAGGAGGGTTGGAGGGCTGGCCTATCAGGTGACTTCCTTCCTCCAAAGTGAGAGGGTGGGGAGGTAAAGGGAGGGAACCTCTGCCAGATCTCGCCCTGAATTTGGAGAATGTGGGGCCAGATTCCAAGCAGTCTCCCTGGTGACTCTGGGGCAAGAATGCATCTGGAACAGGAAGCCCAGCCAGCAGGAATGCAGTGTCTCAGCACAAGGCTTTGTGTGGGCTCAAAAGAACCCACACCCCCACCAACACACACCCAAGCACACTCCCTTCCAGGCCACGTGCCTGTGCCTCCCCGCCATGCAGATATGCCTGAGCCCTCACGGTGATGGGGATCCCTCAGGGGGGCCACACACTTCCCTCCTGTCTGCCTTCTGAAGCCCTGACTGGAGCAGCTCTGTGACCACCCAGAGGGCTCTGTACCCCTGCATGACCACCTCCCACCCCGCCTCCTACCAGAGGAGAATCCATTCCCTTCGAGTGATTCGTGAAGGAATGGCAAGGGTGGCTCAGCCACCCCCTCGCTGCCCACCTGACAGGTGAGCGGCTGCCCTGAGTTCCTGAGACACATGGTGGCTGAGCAGAGTCATCCCTCAGGCTGAGGCAGGGATGCCCAGCTGCCCCTCAATCTCCGTGGGGAAGTCCCAGCTTCAGGAAGCACATTTCCTGCAAGCTCAGCACTGAACTAGGCCCTGTGGGAGGAAGGGCAAAGCCAAGAGGCGGGAGGCAGCTCCTGCCAGAATAGAGATGGCTGGGAGCCACGGTTACCTCCCTTGTGGCCAGGAAGGCAGCCTCTGGTGATGGAGGGGCAAAAGCCGCCCACCCCAAACCAGAAATGCGGGATTCAGACTCCAGGTTCCGCTCCCAGCCCCCTCCCCTTACCAGCTCAGAGTCCTTGGACCAGCTACTCATACTCCCTGTCCACGGGTTCTTCATTTATAGAACAAGGAGGATAACAATACCTACCTCAGAATTGTGAGAATTAAAGCACTTAATACATCTGTGTGTTAGAATTATCTAGCCGTGTAACTTTGGGAATGTCACCTTCCCATTTCTAACTGAAGGGGGCTATATTAGATGCTCTCTCGGGGAACTTCCAACTTGAATCTGTCCTCATTTCTTAAGTTTTTCCCCCAGATGCAGAAAAAAGTGAGGAGGGCACAGCACTGGACAAATTGCTGTCTTATAATTAGGTGGTTCCCCACCACCACCACCACCACTGCACTATGTCTGGGTCATGGGGGGTGGGTGCTCACAGCTGGCTTGGGGTGGGGTTGAGGGCGGGGGTAAAAGATCAAAGACTGCCCCCAGCCTTCTCCTGTGACCAATGGGTTTGGCTAGTAACTCCACCTTCCCCAGTTTGCTCCCAAGCCGGGGCTGGCTGTGTAGCTGCAGAGCGCTCTGAAACCCTCTGGCCGCGGAAGGAGATCTGCCTGCCACAACTAAACAGGTGGATTTCAGCTTGTACCCATCCAGCCTTCAAAAAGCATTCAGCAACTCTCCCGCATACCCGTTTCACAAGGGTCTCCACTCCACATCTGTTCTCCTCTACTCCTTAGAACACTGCTGGCGCATCAAGCTCTGTTACAGGTGAGGATCTGACCATGTTAATATGCCCACCCCCCTTTTCCAACCCATTACTTCCCTGCTTAAAGTGTTTGAAATGTTCCCAGAGCCTCAAGGTGAAGTTCAAACCATTTCTTCTGGCATTCAAGGCTCCCATCTCCCTTTCCAGTTTTCTCTTGGTACCTCCTTCAGCCACTGCCCTAAACTGAGCATCCCGCCTGCACTCACCCCCATCTGTCGGCATTTGTCTGCTGCACCTGTCCAAGTCCTGTTCATCCTTACACACAGATGCCCTCTGCTCTGTACTCAGAGGGCATGCCTGTATGTCCCACATTAGCTCTTGGCACTCATTGCCATGTACTATGATTTCATTTGTGCCAGCTCAGTTGCTGCCACTTGACCATTACCTTCAGGAAAGCATGAAAAAATGCTACATTCTCCCGTGTTCTCACTGTATTTACAGAAGGGTGAATGCCCCTTTTGCAGGCATTCTCCCCTGTTGTGGGCTACACCTGACAGTAGGTGGCACCAAGGAGGCCATCCCATTGCCGACCAGGTGTTCTGGCCTGCAGTACTCCTGAGCCACCAAAAGCCTTGATCTTTTCTATGAAAATAAAGGCAGCCATCCAAGCAAAAGGTGAGACAATTATGTCAGGGTGTAAATTATATCAACAGGTGCCTGAGGAGCCAACATAGTCTCCACCAAGATTCCTTCCAAAAAGAACCAGATAGCACAGTCTCTGCAGTCCAGCTTTGATCTCTTCTGTGAAAATAAAGCTGAGGCTGTGGCCCATTCTTCAGGCTAACTGGGGGACGGGGTGGGTCTGGAGCATCCAGCAGCACCCATGCACCTTTCTGAAATGTCCTCTGGGATTAGGACTGGGGTTGTGGGTGAATCAAGCCCTAAATCTGGCAGGGGACCTGCCCCCTGCCTCAACTCCAACATACCTGAGGGCAGACACGCCTAGCACTGGTCACCCATCCTTTTTGGTTTTGTTTTTGGTTTTCAAATCAACTAGCAGTGAACCAGCAGGGTCTCCCAGGGAAGGGGCACACAGAAAACCCTGGCTTGGAGGTGAGGCCCTTTGTGGGTGGTGGTCCCTCAGGGTGGGGGGCTCCACTGGCATGTCCTTCCCAGGCAAGGCTAACCTGCAGCCTGTCCAAGGTTCTTTCTGGTGATTCTCTTTCTCAGATGGGTGCAGACAGCCTTGGCCAAGTGCAGGACGTACTCTAGATGTTGCCCCCTCTCCTGCCTACCGGCTCATCTGGGTAGGTCAGCTGGGCTGGCAGCAATCACCCCCAAGTAGAGCAAGGAGCACAGAGTGCCAGCCCAGCCAGTGCCAGGGGAGCACAAGTCTGTCTCCCTGAGCCGGGCGGGCCTGAACAGAATGGACATCCAGGCCTGCTTCCTGTTTCTCTGCTGCCCACCCTCCAGCACCCCTCTGCCTCTCCCTGCTCCCAGGGAGAAACTCATGCTCTAAAGACCCAGGGGTTATCCCAGTAAAACTGGCATCTTTATAAAAGGGTCCAGGAGGTGGGGCGCCTGGGTGGCTCCGTTGGTTAAGTGCTTGCCTTCGGCTCAGGTCATGATCTCGGGGTCCTGGGATCGAGCCCCACATAGAGTCCCCCATCAGGCTCCCTGCTCAGTGGGGAGCCTGCTTCTCTCTCTGCCTCTGACCCTCCCCGTGCTCATCCACGTCAGCGAGTGTTTGTGCTCTCTCTATCTCTCTCAAATAAATAAATAAATCTATTTTATTTATTTATTTGACGGAGAGAGGGACACAGCAAGAGCAGGAACACAGCAGGGGGGAGTGGGAGAGGGAGAAGCAGGCTCCCTGCTGAGCAGGGAGCCTGATGGGGGACTCGATCCCAGGATCCCGGGATCATGACCTGAGCCGAAGGCAGACGCTTAACAACTGAGCCACCCAGGTTCCCATAAATAAATAAAATCTTTAAAATAAATAAATAATAGGGTCCAGGAGAGGCGCCTGGCTGACTCAATTAGTGGAGCATGCAACTCTTAATCTTGGGGTTGTAAGTTCCAGCCCCACATCAGATGTAGAGATTACTTAAAAATAAAATATTTTTTAAAAAAAGAGGGGAGGGTGTCCAGAAAGAGCACAACCTTCCACTAAAAGAAACAAGCCTCTTCAGTAGGGGTTTGTGGGAGCGGGGAAATAAAGGGGGAAAAAATATGTCAATAAAGACTTTCTACGCAGTGGTAGAGAAAAGCTCATCCCCAGGGGCCGGGGCAGGGAAGGAGAGGAAAGATCTGCTTTGTTTTGTCCATGTACATATATTTATAGAGCTCATATGTTGAAAACTTTACAGAGTGAATACCTTTCGCCTATGACCACCCCTCTCTTTCTACATATTTCTCTCTGTGTCCCAACCTGCTTAACCCCTGTTGCACAAAGACATCCAATGCGGTGCCCACGAGGACTTTGGTGCATGGCCTGTCCTGCAGGGGGAAGTGAGAGTATCTAGCACAGGCCTGGGATGGTGAGGCCGTCCTCATGCACAGCCCAGGACAGGTCCCAGGCCATGGCCGTGCCTAGCGTGGAGGAAGGGGCCCCACCACCCACCACCACCCTTCCATGCCAACTTGCTGTTGGCATGGCCCTGGCACAGAGGTGTCCACAGAGTCGAGGGCGGGCTACGAGCACAGCCAGGTGCTCAGGCCTGGGAGCTGAGGGTGGGGGCTGAGGAGTAGCGCCGGCGGGCATGCTTCTCACAGTACAGCTCGTCCCCCACCCAGAAGTGCCCGCGCATCTTCAGGTTCAGGCCGCAGTCTGCGCAGGTGTAGCAGCCCGGGTGGCGGTAGCGCCCCTCCTGGATGCGTACAGCGTGGTTCCTGCAGGGGGCGATGGAGAGGGCAGAGCCGTTAGCCTGGGGGCTGGGTGGAGGCGGGGGCGACAGGCAGGACCGCGGCCGGTCTCATTCCCAGGGAGCCTAGCTCCCAGCCCCGATTCAAGGAAAATCCCCAAATTTCAGACCCTGACTCCCCGAGCCTTCCTTCAGGGCTCTCGCTTCAATAACCCCCCAACCCACACCCCCAGGACCTCTAATTAAAAAAAAAAAAAAAAGTTTCTCCTTTACACGAAGGCAGTTAAAGTCCATCCTGAATTTTCTGGGTTGTTAATAGAGCAGTGGTCCCAGGTACAAGGACCCACAGCATCGCATTCCCTGGGGACAAGTTGGAAAAATGGAAGCTCTGGGGTGTGGGCCAGCAATCCCTCTGACGAGTCCCGGGGAGTTCCGCAGCTGCTCTTTGAGAACCACCCCATGCGCGTCTGCACAGCAGGCGCGGGTAGTACCCCATTCTGCAGGCGACACCAGAGCCCGCAGAAGCTAAGGGATTTGCCTAAAGTGAGTCATCTGACCGTTAGCACTGCGCAAGACATTTACGGCAGGGGGAGTGGGCTTTTAGCAATTTGCCGGAGAATAGGGCTGCATTATAATGCCACCCACGGAGAAAAATAAATCTACTTCTGGAAAATCCATCCCTTTCCAAAGGAGGTGGGGGGGGAGCAACATTTTCCAGGAGGAGGACCCTCATCTAGAGGCAGATCTCCAGAGGCTTTGAGATTACTGGAGAGAAATCAGACACAGTAGCATTTCTTCCTCCGAGGAGGAGGGCGAAAGAAATCAGGAAGGAGGAGATGCAGCGGGAAGAAGCCAGCAGGGCACTGTGAGAAGCCTGAAAATAACGCACATCACCCCCTCCCACAGCTGCACCGTGGCAAGGCCTCCCTCCAGGGGCCCTGACTGGTTGCTCTCGGCAGAGCCCTCCTGAGGTCACCCCACCCCCACCCCAGCCCTGCCCCCCCCCCAGCCGCCCTGTCGGGGGAGGGCGTGCCTGCCTCCCAGGCTGCCCACACTCACACAATGCTGGTGTTGCACCTCTCACACGTGTGGAGCTTGGGTGGGGTGGCCGGGGCCCTGGAGGTGGGCAGGGAGGACTGGGAGCTCAGCTGACTGGGCAGGAAGGCAGGCGTGCCACCTGGGAGGGGTGGGGGCAGACAGACACATTGGAGCGCGTGACCCCGGTGGCAGCAGCCAGGCAGGCCATGCTCACTCCTCCGGCACAGCTCTGAGGAGACTCCTGAAAGGCACACTTACACAGGACTTCTAAGGGGACACTGGGTGTGAGGCAGGTAGGTAACGGACAAAGGGAGTGATGGCGGCCGCTCATTGACCGAGGCCGACTTAGCCCACGCTATGGCAACCAAGGAGTGTCTGTGCTGTGTCTACACACCCCACCAAGCAGGCGTTTCCCCTCGTGATCCAGTCAAGATGATATTAATTAAAAGATGATAATCATAGATAATAGCAGCCCCACAATACCTTTACACAGTTTTCAAAGGGCTTTTATGGGCACTGTTGCATGTGAGCCTCGGAACGACACTGATGTTACTGGGCGGGTATGGTCCCTGTTGGCAGCCACGGACTCCAAGACTCCAGCGGTGAAGTCACAGGCTGTCTGCGCTCCCCCCACCCCACCGCCTCTCCCTGGGCCCTGTCCGGGGGGCCCACCAAGGCCTCGGGGTCACGAGGGACAGGATTTGCTCCCTGCCCCCTGACTCCAGTGAACACCCCAGGAGCTAATGTCAGAGTTGAAACCAGCCACCAGGTTGTACAGGTGAGGCTGTGGACCCAGTGCTCCCGCCTGTCCCATTATCTGCCTCCCTGAGACCACTGCCAGGCCAGGCCTCCTCGTCCCTCCCCTGCACTAGGCAGTGCCCCCCAACACACACACACAGCACCACTGCACCCTGACCACCACCTCGGCAGCTGTGCAGGCCTGTCCGCCCTGATCAACAGTTCCTCAAGGGCCGACAGGTGCCCGACTGCCCTCGGCCCCCACGCTTGGCACACCGCTGGCCCATCAGACAAGCACAGGAAATCTGTTGAATGAACAACTGAATGGCTGGCGAGGGCCCGTATCTCTCTTCTTGCTCACTCCAGCAACGGCCTGGCACTATTTAACGGGCCCTCCCGGGTTACGGCACTGGCACATGAGACCCCACAGCCAGGACTCAACCTTCAAGACCAGGCCCCGCTACTCTCTTGCTCCCACACCAAAGCCCCCTCCCCCTCCCCGACCACCCCACCACCCCACCCCACCCCCCCGCAGGCCACGGTGCTCCCTGCCACCATCTCCCTCCCCACCCCCCTCCCCAGTGCCCTGCCCTCTCTGAGGCTTAACTCCCTGCCGCCATCTTAAGGCCATTTGTTAAAGTCTTGATCTTTCTTCAAGGGTCAAGTCAAATTCATCTTCCTCCATGAAGCCCTCCCTGGGGACCCAGCACCCACGGGCCCTACCCCCACCTTCATCATTCCCTTGACACTTTCCTGATCCCAGCCAGCACCTCTGGGTGCACCCCTGTAACTCCTACCAGATTGAAAGCTCCTTTAGTGCAGGGACTTCCCCTTGGTGCCTTACTCCTGTGATGAGCACTTATGAAATACCAGTTCAATATCACATCCAGTCAGGGGTGTCCTGCCAGAACCTACTTCCTACACTCAAACCCCCAAGGGGCTCACCTCTCTCCTCAGCCTCCAGGGCTTCCTGCAAGAGCCGAAAGGAGCTGGACTGCCGGGGGGCGACCCGCGCCTCACGATTCTCCTGCAGCATCTTGTAGACTTCTGAGTCCTCTTCCAGAAGGCGGCTTCCCCCTTCTGAGTCCACACTGCGGGGACAGGAGGCAGCCAGGAGTAAGGGTCCCTTCCTGGGTATGATGACCAGCATGGGCGCAGGGAAAGAGTGCCCTAGGGGAAAGGATTCTGGGGGGGCGGGATTCAGAGGAGAGCCAACTGGGCTTAAAGCAGCCGGGACCCTCCCCCACTCCCCGCCGCCCCCCTTCCTCCTCTCTGGAAAGCCTGTCTCCTACCCTCCCAGGCCTTCCGGGATTCCACCCCACCCTCCAGGGCCCACTGCTACCTGAGCCTGGGGCTGGAGGAACGCGGACCCGGGGAAGGCGGCAGCACCAGCACAGCCGAGTCTCCGGCGCGGGTGAGGCTGGCCTGCGGGACAGAGAGGCACCAGGGGAGGAGTCAGCGGCTCGAGCCTTTGGCCTGCACAGCCGTCTGGGCCGCCGAGCCAAGCCCGGCTGTTTCCCAGGCCCAACACCAGAGGGCTCCCAGCTCCCGCTGACCAGCAGGCCCTGGGCGGGGTGGAGGGGGCCACCACCCCAGCCCTGCCCGCGGGGTACCAGGGACTGCTCCTGCTCAGTCCCAGAAGGGGAGAGTGGCCAGCCCCCATTATGGAAGTGTTAATGGTTCTGCAAGGAGATTGGGCAAGGGGCAGAAGGGCAGAGAGGAAGTAAGCAGATCCTCTCTCAGTGAGGAGAAGGAAGCACCAGGGATGGAGTGAAGGGCCCAAGACCCCTCTCAGGGTCAGGGCTGGGGCTGCACGAGGGACCTCTCTCCTACACACACTTCCTCTCCTGAGAGGGCCCAGGTCTCCTGGCTGCCCTGGAGGTCTGGTTCTGCCCCAGGGAGTCTTGAGGGGGGCCAGGCCCATTTTGGACCCACGGCCCAGCAGCACGCCCCCTCTCCAGGCGCGCACTGTCCATCTTGGGCTCTCTACACTTGCTGTCTATGTGGAAATCTCGACTTCAACCTCACTGTTGCTCCACCTTCTGGCCTGCACCTCTGCAGCCCCCCCTCCTACCCTGCCTCCTCTCCCTTGCCAGCCCCCACAGAAAGGGTACCTCGGAGACAACCAGACAGGCCACAGGGCACCAGGCTGAGGGCACGGTTGCCCGGAAGGCCAAAGTCCCTCAATTTTAAGAGTCAAAGTCAGGGACAAAGTATGGGGTTAAATGATAAAACAGAAACTTGAGGGTTTTGAGAAGACAGCCCTCGACCCTCACTCTTCTTCCAGCAGTCTACATCCTTCTTGCTCTTGGTGCCATGTGGTCCACGGTCAGACAGTAAGACACTTTCCTCAGGAAGGGCAGTCAGCACCAGGTACTCAAGAACCACGGCCCTCGCGCTGTCAGCGGCTGGGCTGTGCCCGGAACAGGCAGTGACTAGCGGGGAGGGCAGCCCAAATCCACCCAGGCTCTCTTTGCAAGCCACGTCCTCATGCCAGCCAGAGGGAGGGGTGCTGTCTTCACTTCACATCTGCTCACCGAGGTGTGCACCTACCCAGAGGTGGCAGCTTCCAGTATCCAGAAGGGCCCCATAAAGGCTGGTGGGGTCCTGTGCCTGCAGCTCAGGAGCCGGCAGCAAGGCCACGGCCACAGCAGACTGGGATGGGGGCACCTCATCTACAGCCACCTCTAACCCCCTTCCTCCTGCCAGACCACCGTGCCCTGGTGGAGAGGAGCCCAACTCCCTCCCTGGGAGCAGCTCTGCCTTTCTCCTCCCTCCCTCCCAGTCAGCTAGGGACACCTGCCCTCACAGAAGAAACCTTTCATCCCCAAGTCCAGAGAAGCAGCTCACCTGCCCACCAAGAGCTCATCTGTAGCCAACCCCTCTCAAACTGTGTTCTGGTGAACAAAGGGATGTTAATAAGTGTGTGGCAGGTGTGTGTGTTGGCGGCGGGGGGGATGCCAGGAGAAATTCTATAGTTAAATAAGTTTAGGAAATTAATAAAATTAAATATATTTCTCATGGGACTTCTTAGAACCTTTAAGTTGCTAAAAGCATACAGTGGCTCCCAAGAGGGAGGTGTGGGATCCAGTGATTCCCACACCATCTGACCACAGCCTCATTCATAGACCAGAATGCAAGCTTCACTGGGTTAGGAATTTCTGTTTATCCACCGATGCATCCCCAGAGACTAGAAGGGTGCCTGACACAAAGCAACTGCTCAGCAGAAGTTTGTTGAAGGAATGACCACGGTCCTCAGGCCAAAGAAGGGAACTCGGAGCATGGGGACTGACTGGGAGGTCCAGAGAGAGAAAGAGGGGCTTATCCAAGGTTAGATGGTAGAGGTGGGACTACCCCAAGTCTCCCTGCCACCCAGCCCAGGGCTCCTGTTTACACTACATGGGTGGTCCTCAAATCTTTGCATCATGTCCCCAAGGGCTCCTTAAAACACAGATTGGTGCCCTTGCTCCACACCCTCACCCCTGCATCTGATTCAGTAAGTCCAGGCTGGGACCTGAGAATGTGCATTTCTAACAGGTTCCGAGGTATTGCTGCTGGCTTGGGAGCCACTCCCTGTACCACCAGCATCTCCCCTTTGCCCAAGTTTGGGAACCACAAGGAAGAAGGCCAAGATGGATGGACCCTCTCCAGCCATGCCCTGGGCCAAGCGCACTCCCAGCTGGTCTCAGCCCAAAGATCTCCCAGAGAAGCCCCTCCCCACCCCCACTCAGGCCCAAACATGCCAGGTCTTGCCTGTACACTGCTTTCCCATTTCCCTGGCTTATCATTCTCTAATCTAAACCCTACCCGGTCCTACCTTGGACGTCCAGCAAAATTCCTGACAAAGCCTTCTCAGGCCACCCAGCCCACACTCATCTTTCCCCTCCCAGAATGCCTCCTGCTTTCATAATTAAGACCACACTGTTTAGCTCTTAATTGTTCCCAAACTGCTTGTCTTATCTCCGCAACTACACTTTAAATTCTTTAAAGACGGGGATCTTATCGAATGCATCTCTTTGCCTAGATTGCCCGGCAGGCCACTGAGTGGGCCCACAAGGAGTCACTGGTGAACCCCTACCGTGCAGCCCCCACAGGAGCCCTCTCCTTCCTTCCCCAGAGCCCCCAGTTTCTAATGCCCTCCCCCAGCCATCTCTAAAGGCTCTGCTTTCTGGAATGCAAAGTCAACCGGAGGTAGGATTCCAGCAGCTGGGCCTCATCCCCTTCACCCCAAAGGCTGGACATGCCCCCCCCAACTCTGCCCCCAGCAGCTGTGGCCCAGGACTGTTGGCAGCCTTACTCCCTCACTTCCTCACTCCTGCCCTTAGAGAGGAGAAATACCACCAAGGCGGGAGGGGGGGGGCTGTCACTAATTCACAGTGGGACCTGGCCGGATAAAACAGAAACTTGAGGGTTTTGAGAAGGCAGCCCTCGACCCTCACTCTTCTTCCAGCAGTCTACATCCTTCT